AAAAAAAAAAAAAAAAGTGGTGTTCTGCTTATTTCTCAGCATCAGTGCTGCGTTTTTACAGTTTGTTCTTGTACCTTTCAAAGGAGGCTGCTTCTCCCTCCCCCCTGGGGAGAGGAGAGGTGGGCATGGGGATGGAGAAGTGACCTTTTGGGGATCGCTCTGTACCAGGCAGCACGTTCCTCTAGGACGTGGGAGAACACTGCTAATTTTGCAGTTAATGAGATTTGAGAGCTTTCGCGGGTCGATTAATTTCTCTGCGTCTGGTGGAAGGGGACAGTCATGCTCTGCTGTGTGGGTATTTTCTTCCTTTGGTCCTTTTTATTTCAACTCCACGTGAAGGAGGCCATCAGCACTTGCAGAAGTAAGCAAGAAAGTGCTTGGATTTGCTCAGTTTGGGGTTTTTTTGGGTTTTTTTTCTTTTATTTTTTCAGCGCGTGGCCTCAGGCGAGCTGTTAAGGGTGGCAGAGAGCCAAGGGTGACAGGACCAGGATGCTGCAGAGCTGGAGGTTGCCCCTGCTCCTGGGTGGCTGCTGACCTAGGAGATGGTGGGGTGACATTTCAGAGCCGGAGCTGGGTGGCAAATGACTTTTTTTTGCTTTCTTTTTCAAAAACGATGACGCGGCAGCCCGAGAGGAAACGAGGAGCCCAGCTGGTGAAAACAGGGCTGGGGAGCCCTCATCCTGCTGGAGCTCTGCGCCGGGTTCCTCTCTGCTTCCCAGCTGGCCCTCCTGGTTTCCAGGAGGTGCAGTTTCCTCGGGTGAGAGGACATCTCTGGTTGCTTTGCGAGACGAGGGCCGTGGGGCTCTGAAGGATTGCAGGACCTGGAAATGAACCTAAAGGGCCCACCTGGGTGATACCAGTTATGGAGCTCCTATCAAGGCTGGTGGTGCCTGCCCAGAAATAGCTTGGAGCAGAGCTGAATGGTGGTCTGTGGTGTTCAAGGGTCAAGTTGCTGAGGGCTCAGCTGCCACCTGCATGGAGAACCTCTGGAGGGTCCGGTTCTCCACCGGTTCCTTCCTTGCACCAAGCATCATGGATGGGTTCCCATCTCTGCAACCCTGGTGGCACGGTGGTCTGGTCCAGCACTCCTGAAGAAGCTCCTGACCGTTGCTTCCCTTCGTGCCTCCAGCCCCATTTTTCCAGGCAGCATGTGGGACGTCGTATCTTTCTCCTGACCTGCATTTCATGGATCTGAAAGCCCAAGAGTGGATGCTGCAGTGCCCTCAGCGTGAAGGGACTCATCCTCACTCATCCCAGCTGGCAGGAGCTGATTTACGGGGGACTTCTTCTGGCGTGGAGTCACTCACATGGGTGGATTTCCACTTGCTCTTATGGATGAGGGTGCTTCAAACACCCCTCCAATGGCTTGGCATGTCCCGTGCTTTCATGCATGTAGTTTCATGATGTCTCCTGTAACCCCAGAGCCCTGCAGCCCTTCTCCTGGAGCCTCATGGGTGCCCAAAGGAACCTTGGGCACACTTGGTGATCTCATGTGTCCCGCATGGAGCTGGGGCTTTCCTCCTCCTGGTTTAAAAAGGGTGGGGGATCATCATCCCTGCAATGGAGAAAGAGAAACAGCTAGATGGGGTTTGGGCTGTAGGTTTTGAGGGGATGTGACTTTATGTGTGTGTGTGTGACAGTGCAACTGGCTCTGTCCCCCACCCCCCAGCCCTGTGACGGGGGGGGGCATTAATTTGGGATGTCTCAGTGTGAAAGCCACACAGGAAGGGGAGCTGTGTCTTCTCACAAGCAAAGCTCCTCGTGCCTCGACGCTGCAAGGGCAGACCGTCCTCCTTTCAAGCCACACAGCCTCCCCCCCTGGCTGGAGAGTGCTTTTTGTCAGCAGGGTGGTGGTTTTTTTTGTGTGTTTAGGCCAGTTGTCATGGAAAACATTGCACAAGGACCTCGCTGACCTTGCGGTGCCCTGAAGCAGCATGCTGGCTGTGATTTGTGCTGCTGTAGCATCTCCCCGAGCAGGCAGTTCAGTGAAACAGTGAGCAGTGCTGGAGATACCATCCCCAGCCTGATGGTTTGGGGGACCCTGGTGGCATGTGGCACCCAGGACCACTGGGCAGTGCCCAAGGATGCTGCCCCTGCGTGGGACCAGCTGGGAGGAAAAAGCAGTGAGGGAGCAGTTGGGCTGTCAGCTGCATCAGATCTCCATAAGCATGGGCTGGGAGCTGGGGAGAAGGACCTGCCACCTTTCAAATGGGCAGAAAAGGCAAGAAGAGAATGGAACAAGGCTGGGGTCCAGCTGGGAGTGGCAGGAGATAGGGTTGGGGCAGAAACACGCGGAGGTGAACCACCAACATGTCCCCCACCACTTCTCTGCAGGTCCCTGACACAATCTGACATACTTCAGTCCACCAAGGGAGGGCTGTGGAGTGATTTCCACTTGTTCTTATGGATGAGGGTGCTTAAAACGCCCCTCCAACAGCTTGGCATGTCCCACGCTTTCATGCATGTAGCTTCATGATGTCTCCTGTAACCCCAGAGCCCTGCAGCCCTTCTTCTGCAAGTTCTCCCTCTGCCTTGGTCTCTTGGTATCTCAGCTACGTAGGCCCTTCTGCCCCTCTTTCCCCAGTTTGCCGTGGTAAGCTAAATCCCTCAGCTTTATTTCAAATGGGATTTGCCTCCCAAGCAGGTATCTTTAAAAGGGTCATCTTGGTTGATGTAATTCATAGGGTGCTGAATCCTTGAAGCACGGTGAGAGAGCACAAGGTACTTCAAGGCAAAGCTTGGGTGGGGTGAGGAGGACCTTCTCTTCAAAATGGAGTAGAAACTATTACAAGAAGAAGAAGAAGAAGAAAAAAAACCCCACACTGATTCAAACTTGGGCCGTGTTTGCTTTGTCTTCATTCAGTCAGTTCCATCCTTCAACGTGAATGACCTCAAATCACATGGACTTTTTGTCTGAGCAGCAAAACTGCTGTGAGTCAGGTCTGCAGGACACCAGGCAAAAAAAAAAAATAATAAAATAAGGTAGCCCTTGCCTACTAGAGCAAAATTGAGACATTTCGTCATGAGCACATACTTATGTGCTCATGTGGGAATATGGAGAGCTCAGCCTGGGAATATTTGCTCTAATAAACCATTCTGTTTGTTTCAGCTTAGCTCGTGTTTGCTTCCCTCAGATATTCAAGTGAGATTTAAGGGAGGGGAGCTTACAAAAAAAAAAAAAAAAAAAAAAGAGCAACTCTCCAGCAGCTACATTGAAATACTGGTGGAAGGTGAGTGATGAAGCCCATAAATCCCCCAGGTGTTCACGCCGGAGCTGTACCCAGCTGACAAGCGACCAGAAATAATCTTGTGTGCCTAATGACCCCCTCGTCCTCCCTCCCTGACAGCCTTGACTAATGACATCTTCGGGCTTGCAAAAAAAATGCTGCAGCAGGAAGGGAAGCCTGTGAGAAGGGCTGCTGAACCCGTGGCCGTGGGTGGCTGGGGGAGAGGGGTGACAGCCTGCTTGCAGACACTGGGGAATGGGAGGCAAAGATCATCTCACCCACAGGTTATATTAGTAGTATTATTATTTATTATTATTTTTATTACTTTGGCCCGGCAGTACCCAAATTTTGCAGCTGGAGTGGGCTACTGTCAACTTGTTTCTTGTCATCCCTGGTGCTGGGGATGGAGCATCCTCAAAAGCTGGTGTCTGGGGGGACAAGTGCACCCTGATCCCACCCGGCATTGCTTTCAAGCTGCAGGAAACAAAGCTGGGTCCCATCACAGTTTCTCAGTCTCTGCCACTGGTTCCTGGCTAACCCTGGTCACATCACTTTAGATACCCCCAGGCTTCTCTCCCACAGGTGTAAAAGAAGGTTGACAGGGTTTTTCTTGCTCCCAAGGCTTCGAAAAGAAGGTGGTGGTGGTGGGATATTCCATCTTGCTCCCAAGGCTTCGAAAAGAAGGTGGTGGTGGTGGTGGTGGGATATTCCACACTAAAGATGTGTGGGATTGTCCCTTCCGTGGTGGGGAAAGGGTTGAAGGGTGCAGGGGGTGGGAGGAGATGGCTGCAGGTCCAGATACTCCTGCTTGCACTGCAGGCAGAAGATCTCCATCAGGGTTGGGTTCCTCGGTTGAGCGCCCACCTGGACTTGATTTTACGAGCTGTGACTCTCTCAAACCCATCAGCCGTACCCTCTGGCTTATGGCTGCAAGAGGGTAGTTAATAATCAATTTTAAACTCCCAGCCCCATACTTGTGGGGTTCCCTGCAGCCACGGGGGTGGGTAAAGAAGTCCTGTAGGCAGAGGGGGTGGCACGGAGGCTCCTGTCACTGCCACAGCACCGTGCCAGGGGTGGACAGGCCCTACCTCCAGAGCTGGAGGCAGCCCAGGACACTGCAGATCCACCCACGCAGAGGTGAAAGACCAGCATGGCGAGGGGAAATGGGAACACACAGGGCAATTGTTGTGCTGGTTAATGTTTAAATAGCTCTCAGAAAGCCCCCTCCCTTGCTGCTTGCACTCTCGAACAAGGGGGCCCTTTCAACTCTTTGGCAACTTCCCCATCCTTTGGCTTCTGCTGCTTCTTTGAAATGTCCACAGGCAGGAGGGTGGGGGACGTCAATGCTGCGGTTTTGCAATGTTTTCTTGCCCACCACCACATCCTCCCACGATGGACCACGCTCTGTCCCAGCCAGCCTTAGAAACCACCTGATGGAGGCTTCTTCTATTACTTCCTTCATTACGTAGATGGAGGGATCTAGTAGAGCTCGTTGGTGTCCATATGACAATGAGTTGTGGGGGGAAAAAGAAAAAAAATAACCCACCACCCACACTTAGAGTGTGGACTTGGTTGTTCCCCATCCAACCCAGTTGGTGACAGCCACATCTCCAGAAGTCCCTACAGGCTTGGGGCAGAGTGGCTGGAGCTGCCCGACAGAAAAGGACCTGGGGGTGTTGGTGGACTGTCGGCTGAACAGGAGCCAGCAGTGTGCCCAGGTGGCCAAGAAGGCCACCAGCATCCTGGCCTGTGTCAGGAACAGCGTGGGGAGGAGGACTCGGGAGGTGATGGTCCCCCTGTACTGGGCACTGGTGAGGCCCCACTTCAAGGGCTCTGTCCAGTTTTGGGCCCCTCACCACAAAAAAGACCTTGAGGGGCTGGAGCAGGTCCAGAGAAGGGCAACGGAGCTGGAGAGGGGTCTGGAGCACAAGTGAGGAGAGGCTGAGGGAGCTGGGGGTGTTCAGCCTGGAGAAAAGGAGGCTGAGGGGAGACCTTCTCGCTCTCTCCAACTCCCTGAAAGGAGGGTGTAGCCAGGGGGGATCGGTCTCTTCTCCAAGGCAATGGGACAAGAGGAAATGGCCACAAGTTGCACCAGGGGAGGTTCAGGTTGGATATTAGGAAAAAATTTTCCACAGAAAGGGTTATTAAGCCTTGGAATGGGCTGCCCAAGGAAGGGGTTGAGGCACCATCCCTGGAAGTGTTCAAAAGATGAGTTGACATGGTGCTGGGGGACATGGTTTAGTGATGTTTTTTTTGTCAGAGTTAGGTTGATGGTTGGACTAGGTCATCTTGAAGGTCCCTTCCAACTTAGATGATTCTATGATTCTATGAAATGGCCTTTAGCCTTCCCCATGCACGGTTCTTTATCTCCTGTGTGTGGCCATGGCATCTGGTGGTCCCAGAGAGGTGGGGGAGACCCTGCTGATGTCTCTCCAGAAACCTCAGCCCAGCCCTGGGACCTGCTGCGTTTCTTCTAGGACTTCCAGCAGCCCTGGAGCATCTCAAACCAGGGAACGGAGGGTTTAAACACATCCCTTGCCAGTTTTACCTGCAGCTTCTAGCACCAAACACACTCGGTTTCCCACCAGCCCCAGCCTCTCCTAAGGTGCTGCCCAAGGGTCTGGTGCAAAGAGTCCCATGATGAGTTGTCCCTCATCAGCTGCAAAACCTCATGCAGGACAAATCAGCCATCTGGGCCCCTGCTACCTCCCTGTATAAAATATATAAATATATATGTATAAATTATAATATTAATATATAAAGAAAAATTTTATATATTAAAAAAATATATATATAAATAACCCTTCTCCCTCCCCCTGCTGCCTCCCTGTAAAACTTGATTAGAGCAGAGCAGTTTGGGGAGGGGAATGTGTTTGTGTGTGTGTGTGTTTGTGTGTTTAAACTGTTTATTAAACCTCAGCATCATCATTTCTTTTCAGGCTGGCTGCTCTGTGACCCTGGTAACCGCCAGAGTGTAATGGGGTGAGAACCAAAGCGTGGTTGCAGGCGAGGGAAGCCCTGGTGTGACAATGTGTTTGAAGAGAGCAGCGGAGCGTGAGGAGGCCATAAACCCCTCGGGAGGTGACTGAAGAGGCCGATTTGGGAAAAGTGAGCACTGCTGGAGTTTTATCGCCGTGGCCTGAGGGTTTATAACCTCCGAGGATGCTCTGAGCTGAGCTCATTTTAAGCTAAAAATTGGCTTAGCCATGGGTGAAGGACAGCCTGGGAGAAGAGGGCTTGGGGTCCATGGGCAACGTCCTCATCTCCTACCTCCTCCGCAGACCAACCTTGCTGCCAGGTGCCTCCTGAGGCAGCAAATGCCCAGACAGATGCAGGCTGTGAGCTCCCCACCCCTCTTTTTGGGTTGCTAACACCAAGGCTTGATGTTTACCATGCAGTTGCCCATGGGAGACATGGGTGCCCAACGGTCCTTTATTTTTAGCTCGATAACAGAGAGTGACACAGAAAGATGGGAGGGAGAAGGAGGGGGGGGTGTCTGTGTCTGCTGAGACCGTGGCACTATTCAAGTTCCTTATCTGTAATTACTTGCAGAGAAGTCCTGGGTATGTTTTTCTATATCTCTATATCGTTATCTCTATATATCTGTATCTCCAATGCACGTCCTGTTTTTTATATATATATAATTGCACACAGGGAGGGTACCAAGAGACCTCTCACACTGCAGATATTTCATTGGCTCTTGTGTCACCAGAACCTTGTTTTCCTCAAGGCTTCAAGCCCTGGCAGGCAACCGTGTGCCACTGTCCCAGCAGGGCCAGGCAGCTGGCATGACAGCCTGAGCATATGTTAGGAGAGAAAGGCTTTGGGCTGACGAGTTGGAGTTGGAAGAGCCTCGTCTTTGCCAATGGCTGAAGGACCTGTATTGCAGCTGGTGAAAGCTGCTTTCCTCCACTGTGGGCAAGCACGTGCCTGATGGCCCAGAGGACTGGGATGAGGTGGGAGCAAGCTGGTGGGACTCAGGTCTGCCGTGGGGCTCACCAACTCCAACCCTTTCAAGAAGCCTTCTTGCCTACTGGCCTCTTAAAGAGGGTATTTCCTCTGGTGACTGGGAGCCTTTTAATTTGCCTTTTTAAAATTTTTTCCTTTTAATTTCAGCCAATCAATATCTGAAGGGAGCTCCAGGAGAGCTGGGGAGGGACTCTTTGTCAGGGAGTGCAGTGACAGGACAAGGGGGAACGGTTTTAAATTGGAAGAGGGGAGATTGAGATTAGATTTTAGGAAGAAATTCTTTGCTGTGAGGGTGGTGAGGCACTGGAACAGGTTGCCCAGAGAAGCTGTGGCTGCCCCATCCCTGGAGGGGTTCAAGGCCAGGCTGGATGGGGCTTGGAGCAACCTGGTCTGGTGGGAGGTGTCCCTGCCCAGGGCAGGGTCGTTGGAACTGGATGATCTTTAAGGTCCCTTCCAACTCTAACCATTCTATGGTTCTATGATTCCAGCCCACAACTTTTACCAGCCACTTTGTGCCCATTTTCCCCCCATGCCAGAGCTATCCCTTAGCTTAAACAGCTCTCCTCCCTGCTGGGTGCAGATGTGTTTATAGAGGCAATCACAGCTCTCTGAACTGTGGGATGGGGAAGAATGTCTCTTGATGTCCCCACCACTGCACCAAACTGGGTCCTGTCTCTGCTGTGAAATCAGGGAGTGTGGAAGGGGAAAATTCAAAGAGATAAGACACCCAGAGTATCCTCCAGGCTCGGGCTGAGGGTACATGAGAGAGCTGGAGGTGGCAGGGATGCTTTTGACGGGCTGGGCAAGGTGAGGTGTCTTTTAGGGTCCCTTTGTCTGGGCAGATGATAGAGAAAGACCCAAAATTCCACTAAGACCTGAACTGGGAGTGCTGCTGTGGGGCTGCCCAGAGAG